CATGGCCTGCATTAGGCTGCACTAGCGACAGCTGCCAACGCCGCGGTTGCAACGTCGTGATCCTGCTGCAGCCCTTCGTTCTTGAAGTCGTGGCGACCTTGGCGAGCAAGGAGGACTTTCGCGCGATCGTCGCGGATGATGCTGAGATACTCTTCGATGGGACCCGTGAACGCCGCTCGGAGGTGAAGCTGGCCCATGATGTTGGCTTGGTTGTACACGTTGAGGACCACTGTGCGGGGTGCAGCGAGGCTTGTTCGCTCTTCGAACGAGAGCTTATCCGGCTTCAAGAGGTCGTCGAGCCGAAGTGTGACTTTGCCAACATATGTGTCCCACATGATGTTGACCTTGCGGACGGCGAACTCGACGGTCTTGGCGAGCGGTTGGACGTTCTCGAGCGTCGTTAGCCATTCCCAGCGCAAAACGCTGTTGGTCTCGGGCACGCACGGCGTCTTCACCACCTCGTCGAAGCGCATCTGGCTGTACCCTTGGAAATCGAAAATGTTCGTGTTGATGGCAAAGTTGGTGCCCTTGATGATCGCCAACGTGAGACCGATGATTGGAAGGTTCGCGGAGCCGAGCGCTTGGAGATGACGAGGAACGTCTTGCTCGTTTTGCATCTCCAGGAGGCGCCGCACCACTTCGGGGGCCGTCGGGCGCTGGGCGGCGTCCCACTTGATGCAGTCTTGCACGAGCTCCGCGTAGGCTTTGGGCACCGACATGTCCTCGAAGTAGCCCGAGAGGAGCTCTTCGGCTGTCTTTGGGTTTCGCAAAAGCGCTGTGACGTGACCGTCATCGATTGGATTGCGTCGTCTCAAGACGTGGGTGAACGGAAGGTCGCGCGTGAGGAGCGAGATGAGGACAAGGCCGAACGAGAAGATGTCGATCGCGTCCGTGTACTTGATCTTGCCGTCCTGAAGTGTCTCGGGGGCCCCCCAGCGCGCTTCTGTGACGCCGTTGGTGTCGAATCCCGTCGTCGACGTCTTGGCCTTGAGACCGACAAAGACCTTGACGCCGCCGCGGTGCGGAATGTAGATGTTTCTCCACGAGAGATCGCGGTGCATGACGCCGACCTTGTGGACATCGACGAGCGCCTTGCCGACCTCGAGCGCAATCGCAAGAGTGTTCTGCATCGTGAGCTTCTTGGCGGGGTCACTCAAGAATGTCTGCAGGTCGCAGCCGACAAAGTACTCGACGTACGCGATCGGGTTGGCGCTGAAGAGATCGCAGGCGCCTACGAGCTGCAGAATACGACCGTCCCCGCCATTGAGCCTACGAATCAAAACAAACGCTATCAATGCCTCGTTCCCAGAGGAGATATACCGCATACGCTTGCATGATTGCGATCGACTTGCGGAAACGCTCCAAGTCTTCGCGCTTGCGGTAACCTTCCTTGAGCTGGATACGAAGCACGTGTTCGCCATCCGCGAGGAGTCCGACGCGCAGCAGCGCAAAAGGATACGCCTCCCGTTTGAGCGCGTCCTTGCCACCCAATTGTACAAAGCCGGCGTCGTCATAGACCTTGACGCTCTTCAAGCGCTGCTCCAGCAGGTCCGCTTCGCGCTTGGCTTCGAGTTGCTCTTGCTTGCGACGCAGCTGATCTTCTTTTTGCTGCTCGAGCTGGCGGCGCATCTCGTGTTCGCGTCTGGCTGCATCCGCAGCCAGCGCATTTTCGGACGCGGCAATAAAGTCGTTGGTGAGGTTGTTGATCTTGGTCTCGTTCGCCCGCACGACGCTCTCCATCTCGCGATGCATGGCGGCATTCGCACGCTTGAGCTCGTCGATCTCGTTTCGCAAGGAGTCGTTCTCGACGCGAAGCATCTCGGTCTCACTGCGTGGGGTCGGGTCTTGGAAAATTTCGTTGCTCAGCGCGGCGCCCATGACGATGGAAAATGAAAAGTGCCAAATGATTCGTTTGCTTTCCTGTACGTTGTTGATAGATACGTTGGGATCCAAGTTGATCGTTTGGAGAGCACTTCAGTCGCTTCTGGGTGAGGCAGCTGACCATAATCACGGTACGCTTATCAGCAGTGGCCTTGGCCTCGCTCTGCATTCAGTCAAGAAGGGGTCGTCCTCGTCGACTTCTTTTCGTCTACCGTTCTTGGTTGAACACCAGGTAGATGCGGGCTCAGAGAGAGCCCCACTTTCGTTTGCATTCATTTATCAAACGAGTCATGTTGAACATCCTAACCGCGGCGTGGATCCCTTGCGCGCGCAAAAAAGTTCAACATAATTGGCAGTCGTGCCGGTGGCTTGGCCCACTATCGACAATCCTGTGCAAACCGAGTTCAGCTATCACCAGTGTCCGACAGCTGGGGCAGGCGAGAGGACAGAGTGGCCACTTGACTCTTGGGCTTGTGCTCGGACCAAGTGCATTCGATGGCGCTACAATCTACTCATGCACTACAAGCCCACAAGAAGCGCTGTAGCGAGGTCCATATGGCTCGCTTCCAGGAGTAGAGTGTTGACACTCGCACTCAGAGTATCAACTCTCACTCTCCCAAGCACAAAGAAACGGTCCAATCAAGTGGTTTCGATCCGGAAAAGTATCAAGTGACAGAATGTTTGTCGAATCCTGGGATGTCCAACAGCCCCGTGCAGTCCGACTGAATTGCTTCTGAACGCTCCTTGCCGTAGCGATCATTTCTCAAATTGCACTTCGATGTTCAGCACGTGGTGGACTCCCGGTCCCGATCCCAGGGTGGACGAGGACACGCCAATGCCACTGCAGATCCACAAGGCCATCGTCGAGCAGCTCAAGCGCGAGCATGAAAGGGCGATGAAGAAGCTCCGAGAATCGCACAAAGCCGAGATCGAACGCATGACGGCCAAGTACACGACCGAGACCAAAGACGCTGCCGCCATGGCGCTCGAAGAGTCGCAGCGCCGGCTAAAACTTGAGGCGACGGTGCGCGAGCACGAAGCTGCGCTTCTCACGCGGCGCCTCGAAGACATCCACGAGATCAGCGACGTGGGCTTCCAGGCCTTCGAGGGCAACCTCGGCTTTGACACCAAGGCGTTCCCGAATACGTCGCTTCTCGCCGGGCGGCTCGCCGACGGTACACTCGTGCTTCGTGTCCAGCTCACCGAGGCAGCGCGGCAGCTCGCGGACAGCGTCGATCGCTTCCGGCAGTCGATCGCCATCATGCAAGCGTACGTCTCGTCTTATATTTCTTATTGTACTCATGCTCCAAACCTCTCGTAGGCTCAACGGGACGGACGACCATTTGCTGCGGCTCATTGGCGGCTGCGACCTCAACACGAACAACCCGATCGCATACATCGAGTACTTTCCCGGCGCGGACCTAGAGTCGTATTTGCAGGACCATCCTCATTTGTCGGAGCGCGAGATGCTGCGAATTGCCTTGCAGGTGGCGACGGCGCTGGCCGCAGTACACAAGAAGGCGATGCTGCACCGCGACCTCAACTGGTCGCGCGTCTTCGTCGCCCTCGATGGCCGTGTCAAGGTCTTTGTTGGCCTGAAAGCGCGCGAGCGACCGACGGGCAATGTGACCAACGGCGTCTCGGCCGAGCGCTGGGGTGCGCCCGAGACTCTCCACGCGGCCGGGGTGTACTCGGACAAGATCGACATCTTCTCGCTCGGGCTGCTCATCATGACGCTCGTGACCAAGGACGTCCCGTTCTCGCACATCAAAAAGTCGCGCAAAGACGAACCGATCGACGATGATATGCTGCGCCGCCGCCTCGAAAACAAAGCCGACGCGACGCCGATGCTCACGCAGCCGTTTGGCGACGTGTCACCGGCGTATACGACATTGGTGCACGCGTGCATTGCGTATGACCCAACCCGCCGTCCGAGTGCGTCCGAGGTCGCACGGCGTCTCCAAGAGCAGCTCGACGAGCTCGACGAGACGGAAGCCAACGTACCGAAAAACGTCACGACGGTCCGCCCCGTCGTGGGCATCGACGTGGTCGTCAAGCGCGCGACCGGGCTCGCTTCAACCTCCAAGATGTACTGCACCGTCAGTATCGCCGATGCGATGTTCGAGCCACTTCCGACGGGTCGCGCCTCGTGCGCCAATGGCATTTGCACGTGGCAGCAGACGCTGTCGTTCGCCAACGTCCAGCCGCTCGAAGGCACATTGCAGTTCACGCTCTGGTCAGTGGGCACCCTTTTCAGCGCCGACTCGATCACATGTGTGGCCTCGGTCATGCTCGAGGAACTCCTGCACTTTGCCGGCACGACGACGAGCCTCCAGGCGCCGCGCTTGACCAGCCTCGACCTCTTCTCGGAAGGCGACCGCCTTGGGTCGCTCGAAATTGAAGTCTCGTTTACGAGTGAGATTCGCAAGTACCTCGCGCTCTACGTCGAGGAAAAGTCCAAGCTCATTAGCTACTACGCGACGCGGCAGACCAACTACTGCGCCGACTATGTGCGGCGACGCGACCTCGCGGCCGTCGTGCTCGGTGTCCAATCGCCCTGAGATCATTTCGGTATCTAGATGAAGGTGTAGATTGAGACGGCCGATTGTTCTGATGTTCACTAGTGTCTTATACTGCATGCGCAGCGACGCGATGTACGGGCCTCTCGCGGTGGCGGTGTTGCGTCCGCTCGAAATGGAGCAAATCGTATGGGGCGAGTACTTGCCGACTCTTTCGATGGCGCGATTCCTCGGAGTGGTTTCATTGCAAGCTTCTCCAGTAGCAAGGCCATCAACTTTCTGTGGTAGCTACATGCAGTCTCGGCAAAAAGCTGCGGTCACGGACCCTTGGCTTGGTAACTTCATGCAAAGGTCATCAGCGCCACGAACGAAGGTGCTGCGTTGCGACCGCGCGACAAGCCTGTTTCGAGCATCGTGGTGCTGGCTCGTGTTGACGGAACCCACTTGCTCGCACTCGCGAGGTCCCGCCTCGACGCTTGGATGACGTGCAATTGCAGCAAGGTCAGTCGTGCGCTCAAGAGAAGCGACTGGCCGGAGAAGACGCTTTCGCCACGTCATCGTCGGCGACAGAAGTCGGCGCAGTGATATTCGAATCGCCGTTGGGTGCAGAGTGTGCACGATTGTGAACTCTGGCTCGCAGCGCTGGCTCGCGGAAGGAGCGTCATGGCCCACGGCGCCACGAGATGTATCATACCTCTAGTTGAACGAGTCAAACAGCTCGATGAGCCTCCCCGCTCCGCCGCAAGACGACTTGACCTCGCGCAGTGATCGCTGGGCTTGGCATTCTATCACGCTTTTCGAAGGCACGACGGCGCCTGGCACAGCCGGGATCGATCGATGGGTCCGACCACTCGAACCAATGTGTTTGAGAACCAGATCGTGGTGTTTTCTACGACAATGTGTGCACAAGAGATGGTCGCGAGCCGAAAGTGGCGTGAAATTAGCGTCGGCGATGATAGTTTCGACTGCGACACGCCTCCTAAGTCACCCAAATCCTGCACTGTATCAACTGCGAGCCAATTGCAGGCGATCGTGGCAAGCGTCTGGCAGTCGTCAATTCCAAATTTCCATGGGCAACATCTTCAGCTCCGCCCGCGTCGCCGAACTCGAGAAGGAGGTCGCCGAGCTCAAGGAGCAGGTCGGTACGCTCCAGAAAGAGGCCACGACACTCAAGGATGCCCACAACGTGGACCTCGAGGCGCTTCGCACGCACAAGGCCGAGCTCGAGCGCGTCAAGGCCGAGCTCGAGCTGCTCAAGAGCGACAAGAACGCGGCCGACGAGCTCGCGACGGCCAACGCACTCAAGGCCGCCGAGCAGCGCGCGCAGCTCGAACAAAAGGTGCGCGAGCTCGAAGCGACGATCCTCGAGCGCCGCTTGAACGACGTGCGCCACGTCGATGACGGCAGCTTTGTGCGCATGAAGGGCAACCTCGGGTTCGACTCGCAGGCCTTTCCGTTCACGAACCTCATCGCGGGCCACCTCGCCGACGGCACGCTTGTGCTCCGCGTGCAGCTGCGCGATGAATACCTCCGTGTGCCCGCCGACATTCAGCGCTTCAAGCAGTCGATCGCGATCATGCAAACGTACGTCCTGCTGCATAGACCGTGCGTGACAAGCCATGCATCTGTAGGCTCAATGGCGCGGACGACCATTTGCTGCGCCTCGTCGGCGGCTGCGACCTCGAGACGGACAACCCAATTGCGTTCCTCGAGTACTTTCCCGGCACGGACCTCCAGACGTTTGTGCGGCAGAACGAAGAGCTTTCTTGGCACAAGAAGCTCGACATTGCGCACCAGATCGCGACGGCGTTGGTTGCAGTGCACAACAAGGCGATGCTGCACCGCGATCTCAACTGGTCGCGCGTCTTCATCGCCTCCGATGGCCGCATCAAGGTCTTTGTCGGTCTCAACGCGCGCGACCGCCCGGCGGGCCACCCGGCCAACGGCGTCACGGACGACCGCTGGGGCGCGCCCGAGACGCTTCACGGCACGTACACGGACAAGAGCGACATCTTTTCGCTTGGCCTCATTTTGATCTCGCTCATCACGCGCGATTTGCCGTTCACGTACCTCACGACGCAGCGCAACTACCCGATCGACGACGACCTCCTCAAAGAGCGTCTCAAGAGCACGGTCGACGGCTACTTGACGCTCACGGCGCCGTTTGGCGAAGCACCCCCGGCCTTTATGATTTTTGCCCTGTCGTGCATCTCGTTTGCGCCGGCCAAGCGCCCGACCGCGTCCGAAGCCGTGCGCCGCCTCGAGGAGCAGCTCCAAGAGATGGCCGAGAAGGAGGCCAACGTGACGCCCGTGAGCACGGCGCGCCCCGTCGTCGCCATCGACCTGACGCTCTCGAAAGCGTCCGGGCTCTCGTCGACCTCGTCGACCTTGTACTGCACGGTGGCCCTCGACGATGCGAGCCGGACTGCGCTCGACACGACGCCGGTCAAGAGCGAGGGCGGCGTGTACTGCTGGCCGACGCCGCTGACGTTCAGCGACGTCAAGCCGCTCGAATCGATGCTCGACTTTACGCTCATGGCCAAGGGCATGTTCTCGGACTCCAAGGTCGGCAAGGCATCGATGCGATTGGAGGATCTGCTCAGCGTCGACGACGACGACGCGACCGAGACGCCGAGCCTCGACGCGCCACGCACGGCGACGGTGGATCTCTTCTCGAGCGGCGAGCGCAAGGGATCGCTCGAGGTGTCGGTGACGTTCAGCGCCGACCTCCGGTCGTACCTCGCACTGTACGTCGAAGAGAAGACGAAGCTCATCAGCTTCTACGCAGGCAAAAACGCCAACCACAACAGCGACTACCAGCGGAAACGCGACATGGCTGCCGTGCTCCTTGCGACCTCGCATCCCTAACCGCATTGTATCAACTTGATACTACCCTTTGCATTTCTGTCCTGTGGTGTAGTGCTTCTGCGGGATGGAGCATAGCGTAGTTGTGTGAGGCAGCACACTCGGCGTTACGAGCGACAAGTACGAGTCTCCAGAGTCATTGGATGCAACCAAGGCAAATTGCTCTGGCGGAAGGCAAGAGTCCGACGCTAACCCTAAGACGTCAACACAGATGGACCGAATCCGACCAGCCGTCCACACCAGAGCATGTGTGCTCACTGTTATCCTATACTGCCATTGCATAGTCTACGCAGGGGAGTATTGATATCCCTTGGTCTTCGTGTACTTCCTTCGTGTTCAGGTCATCGTTCCCAGTCGTGGGGGCAGGCGAAGGGCATTCGTCGCTTGTATTGGCCAAAAATATGTGTATATTGACCAATCCATGGCGAGATGCGTCACCACCAGATTGCAATCGGAGATTTGACGCAGCGCCGACGCCAAATCAAGGTTGAAAATGAAATCGTTCGTACGTTGCAGGTGGATAGAGAGTGCTTTTGTGAGTACGAAATGCCGTGTTGCGTCGCCGTTGGTGGCGTAGAGCTTGAGGAATCGCAGTTTAAAATTTCGAAATTGCCGGCCAAACCGAGGACCGTACAGATTCGGGTACGGTGTGGTGGTCTCGAATTGCATTGAGTGACAAAACTTGTTGATGCATCTGCTCAGTATCGGTTGATCCTCCAAGCAACGACACATATTTTGTTAGTTTCAATTTCCGACATTCGCTGTACTCACTCACGACTGCACGGCGACTCTCAAGGAATATCCAAATAATGCATTTTATGTTAAGCGCTTATGTGGACACTGGTGTGATCTTGACGACGCGCTTGCCTTTGGCGTGCTTCTCGTGGGCTTCGACAATGGCCGCGACGCCGTCGGACAGGTCGTACTCCTTTTCAATGTAGGGCGTCACGAGTCCTTGGTCAACGAGTTGCGCGAGGTCCGTCAGCAGCGCATGGGACGGTGCCGAGAAGCAAAGCCGCAGCGACTGCGACGCAATCGCTTTGGACGCGAGAAGGCACATCGTGCGCGAGAAGAATGTTGCGGGGTCCCCGCCCACGGACAAGTACGTACCGCGGGGCACCAAGAGGCGCCGAAAGTCGCGCATCGAGCGGTTGCCCATGACGTCAAAGATTGCGTCGTAGAGCGTTGTCGATTTCGTGACAAAGTCGTCGGTGGTGTAGTCGATGACGTCATCCGCACCGAGCTCGCGCACCATGGCTACGTTGCCCGTGCTGCACACCGCCGTCACATGACCTCCCAGCGCCTTTGCGATCTGCACGGCAAAGGTGCCGACGCCACCGGACGCACCGTTGATGAGGATACGCTGGCCGGCCTGGAGCTGGAGCCCATCGCGAAGTCCAAGAAACGCTGTTTGGCCCGAGATCGGCATGGCCGCGGCTTGGGCGAACGAGAGACGCTTGGGCTTGAGGGCCATCGCGCTGTCGGCGGGGACACACACGTACTCGGCGAACGCGCCGGCGCCTGTCGTGAAGTTGACCTCGCCGTACACTTCGTCGCCAACCTTGTACGTGGTGACGCCATCGCCGAGCGCTTCGATCGTGCCAGCAAAATCGGCGCCAAGCACCGAGTCGGCGCGGGGGCGGAAGAGGCCACCGAGAGCTAAGCGCACGGGGAATGGCGTACCGGCGAGGAGGATCTTGTCGGCCGCGTTGAGCCCAAAGGCACCGATTTTGACGAGGACGTGGCCAGGCTGGAGCGATGGCACCGCGATCTCCTTGAGGCTGAGGACCGACGAGGCGGCGCCGTATGCGCTGTAGACAAGTGCGCGCATCGTAGTCGGAGGAGCAGTCATGCTGTGGGTGAAAGATCGCAAATTTGGAAATGACCATTTGCAGGACGGTCTTTTTAGCAGCCAATCACAGTGCGTGGTGAGAACCACTTTGACCCAAGTAATCGCGGGTTTGGATTGGCTGCTGACCTTCTGCCATGTTCAACGTGTTAAATTCGGCGTCCTTCGCGCGTCGAAGGCCACAATGTTCCCAAGAGCGTTGGTGCTTTGACCACACTCTGCAGAATGGATCTGCTTGAGCTCTGAACCAGTAGCAAATCCACAGGTTCAAGTGTTTGTCGGAGTGCGATGTCGACGAGTGCTGTTGGCGAGAGGTGTAAGTGCAATGCCCTTAGAGGCATATGCCGAAACTTATAAAATCACACTAAAACAGGTATCGCACAACACTATTCACGTTGGTATCCGCATGGCAGCGCCGGTCGCATCGCTCGGGAGCTGCCGCTTGCTGAGCTTCCATGAGGAGATGGTACGAGGCGACGAGGCGATGGTCGATGATGCTCATGCGCGCATTCAGAACCCTAGCAAGCGCAAGACCATGGAAGACGCGATCCGCGTCGTCGACGGCTTCCTCCACACGCCCCAGAACGGCTTCTTTGCGGTCTTCGATGGCCATGGCGGTCGGCGATTCCACGTGACATCGTAGAAGCTGAGCCTGCACGTAGGTCGAGGCGTCTCAGCCTTCTTGCAAGATCGATTGCACAAGACGCTTGAGGCTGAGGCCGCAAGAAAGGACGGCGCGACCATGGACGAGCTCCTTGAACGGTACGTCCTTACCACGTACGCCGCCTCCATGACGCCGCGTGCCATTAGGGCCTTCATCCTCTCCGATATGGACTGCTGCCTCGAAGACTTCTCGGAGAACGCAGGGTCCACAGCCGCTGTCGCCGTGATTGTGCAGGAAGGGCCGATGCGCGTCGTGTACGCCGCCAACGCCGGCGACAGGTTGCTCGCGACTCTTGATCCATACCTCGTAACTCATACCTCATGCTGCAGTCGGACGGTCCTGTGCAAGAGCGGCCGCGCGACGCGACTCAGCCAGGTACGCGCGTCTTCCGTACCCTTCGTATCCCGACCCACTTGCAGGACCACAAGGCCGAGAACCCCGATGAGGCGGCGCGCATCGCGCAAGCCGGTGGCTTTGTCATGCAACATCGTGTCGCTGGTGTCCTCGCCGTCACGCGGTACCGCTCGACCTTGCGTCGTCGAATGCTCATGCAGGCTAGGAGCTTTGGGGATAGGAGCCTCAAGCCGTGGGTCACTGCGCAGCCCTTCATCTCTCGCACACCGTACCAACAACAAATGCTCTTCCCAATGAGTCGACGATGGTGCTATGTAGGCTAGACGAGGACGTTGAGTTTATCATTTTGGCGTGCGACGGCGTCTGGGACGAGCTCGACGACCAGGAGGCTGTCAACATTGTGTTGTCGCTCGAGCCGCTCAACCGACCGCAAGCCGCCAAGTTCCTCGTCGACGCTGCGCTCGAGCAAGGTAGCTGCGACAACATCTCTGCCGTCGTTGTCTTCCTCAAGTAATCACTCGCGTTCGTCGCATCATCTCTTGGTCCATCATCATGAGCCGAGGAAAAATTGCAAGCGGAGGCTTGTCGTCGCGGTGGCCTCCTGGAAGCTTCGCGATCATGCACCTCGCGGCTGCATCTCGTCGGCTTCAGAGGGCCTTGTCGGCTTCAGAGGTCCTTGTCGGCTTCAGAGGTCCTTGTCGGCTTGCAGAGGACGAGTTGGAGGAAGGTACCCACATCTACTTGGCCAAAAAAATGCGGCAAGAACGCGGTACTTCAAGGTAATACAATACCAGCACTCAATTACGAATAGTATTCCCAAGTGTAGCGTGAATAATAAAATACATTCGATGCCCGGTTTGCGATATTAATAGCGACCGACATTGCACTGTCAGCAGCTTGCTCCGAATGACAACGACGGACGCGCCGACCGCGACGACGCCGGAAGACGCCTCGACGGCGCCCCATGACGCACCGACGGGCGCACCGGCGGCGAGCCCACCGGTCGCGGGCCTCCAAGCCGAGACGTCGACCGCCGAGCAGGCGGCGCTGACCCTCCTCGAAAAGTCGGCGCCGCTGCACATCCGCTTCTTCCACAACAGGATGATGATTGACGCGCTCTTGAAGCTGCCATTGACGATCGCGCCCGTGGACCCGGCAAAGGGCACGCAGTGCGTCCACCTCGAGCTTTGGCTCCGCGACAAGTTTGCCATTCCGGAAGGCAACAGCGTGTTTGCGATCGTGCCGGCGCTGGAAGCGTACTCGCCGCCCTTGCCGCTCGTGCTCCTCAACACGGTCGCGCACCGCATGCTGGAAGAGCTTCAGGACGGGCAAGAGATGCCGATCTTGGATTACGCGCTCGTCGTGCGCCCGCTCGTGTCGCTCTCGCAGCCGATCCCGCCGGCGACCGAGCAATCGTCACCCTTCTTCCCGATCAATGGCCTCGCACTAAGCCGTCGCGACAACTCGGTCGAGCAGCAGCACGCGCAGCTCGACTTTGTCGACAAGATGCGCGCCTTTGGTTTCGCCCGCATCGAGGTGACGCCCGAGCAAGCCGGCATTCCGGTCGAAGCCTTCCGCGCTGTCCGACAATGGCTCCGCGACCAGGTACCACCAACGCTGTCGACCAACCACATAGCACAACGGGTCGTTAGCTTGTGCTGCCGCCAGAACAGCGCTGGTCGGAGCGCGTCGATGCCACCGACTACATTCCGAGCGACGAAATGGAGAAGCCGCGGTCGCCCTTCCAGTCGCTCATGTGCTGGTCCAAGGTGGGTTGCTATTGACACGACTAGCGTGGTCTTGACGCCTTGGTGCTGTAGCCTGTCAGAGACGAACCAACGTCGCTTGTCTCCAAGGGCCGGTACGTGGGCTTCAACGGCGACACGACGCGCGAGTACCTCCAGATGCGCCGCCCGCTCGCCGCGAGTGGCACGGTCTGGCCGCGACCGTACTTTGTCGACGCCAAGCAGGAAGACTTTGCCGCGCAAATGCTCTCGCTGCTCAACCTCCTCGATAATATCGGCCGCGACTGCATGGAGGCAGTGTGCAACATCCTCAACATTGACCGACACTGGATGTTCCACGAGCTCCTCGACTCGGACGCGCCGCCGCCCGCTTCGGACGCGGACGTGACGACGACCGACCTCACATGTCGGTATGGCGCGTCCGTCCTGCGCATCTACAACTACAAGAACAAGAAGGGCGAGTTCGTAGACCCGAACCGCCTCGACATCAACATGTCGTGTGGCTCGGTGCGTCTTCATCTTTTGACTTCCTAGGACGTCATATCCGTGTTGCTCGTTGTAGCATGCCGATCTGGGTCTGGTCACGGTCTCGCCGTGCGCGACCATTCCCGGCCTCCAGATGTGGAATCTGGAACGCATGCTCTGGACGGACGTCGAGGCAGATGCGGAAGTGATTCACTTCTCCGTCTTTGCGGGGGAGACTCTCGCGTACATCACCAACGGTCTCATCTCGGCGCCGCTGCACCGCGTGCCGGCCACGGTTGTCGACGACGAGCTCGAACGGCGCATGTCGATGCCGTACTTTCTCCGCGCGACGCCGCACTCGATCCTAAACCCGTCCCGACCCAAGGGCACCCCGGCGCTCACGACCCGGGATTTCATGGAAGACGTCGTGTTCAAGAAGCGTCCGTGGCGCCGCGACTCGTGCGCGACGCCCGACTACTAATCGACGAGCTAAGAACACCTTAAACTACCGTCATGCTTGGCGTGCGCTCGCGCACACACAACACAGAGTCGAGGTTGGCAGCTTCGCCGCGCTTGTGCAGAATCTCGGCGAGCCTACACAGGGCAGTGTCCATGAGGATAACATACGCTTCATAGTCCGAGACGCACGCGAGGAGCGGGTTGAAGGGCTTGACAATGCCGTTGGGTGGGAGTTGCTTGAGGCAGAGTTTGCGGCAGGGCAGCCACCGATCCGTCATTACGTCCAGCGGCGTCCCGAGCTTGTTGGCCGCTTTCTTGGTCAAGCCCGAGAGAATTCGGCTCGAGATCGAGTTGGACACAATGTCGTGTGGAAATGCGAGCCCGTTGCTCTCGAGGACGTTGCCGTCGAGGACGGTGAAGACGAGCCGGATCGGCGGGAGCCCGCGGTCGTTCTGGCCGCACACGACATAGTCCTCACCGTTGCGCGTGAGCGTCCGGAGCGTCTGTCGCCACACGCCTGTCGTCGCATCTACCCAGCATATGGTCGTCAGCCGAGACCATCCAGCCGCCGAACAAGTCGCGGAACCATAGTTGGCGAGCCGGGCAAACTTGGCGCGGTGCGTATCGAGAAAGAGACGCGAATCGCGCTCGCCGTACCGGTCGCGGTTCAAGACCGGTTTCGACCACGCGCCGTAGAGCTCGACCTTGTGCTCCATGGGGCGCGCGCCCGCGCGCTTCTGCTTCCAGAGGTACTCGAACGTGTTGTCGCCGTGCAGCGTGAGCGTAAAGCTCATCGAGACGATATCGTCGTCGTTCATGAGGAAGGCCGCGACTTGCGCGAGCTCTCGGTCCAAGCGCTTGTCATCGTCCACGATCGGCGCCGACGGTGGTTCCTTTGGCAATGCCTCGGCGGTTGCCTCCTACGCCATGCGATGAAGACGAAACTGAAGGGCGCTCCAGACGCACGGGCGTCGCAGCCGGCTGGTCGCGCAAAACAGCGATGGACGCGGGCGCGGGCGCGTCAGGGACAATGCTGGCCGGTGCCTCAACGTTTGCATCTCCGTCAGCAGCTGGCGGTGGCTCGGACACCGCCTCGGTAGCCGGCGCGAGCGTTTCCGTCGGCGGCGCATCGACGGGCGGCGACGCCTCGGCCTTGTCCGCGTGCCACTGGTAGACGCCGGGAAGGAAGATGTAGCCTTTGCCGGCGCCGTTGGTCCAGTTGATCTTGGTGTCGGCGAGGCGCACGAGCTCTTCGATCGACGCCTCGATCGTGCCCTTGAGCGCTTGAATGTCGGTGGGCATCTTGGCTTTGAGCGAGGAATATATGTATATTTAGAAGACAGATTTGGCTGATGAGTGACACGGCTCGGTCGTACGAGCACGATGGCAATGGCTCGGGCAGCTTTGAGGACGACGACGATGCTGAGATCGCCGACATTTTGTGCCAAGCCAGCCTCATCTCGGCGCACGCCAAGAAGGACCAACCGATGACAGCGTCGATGCCGGACTCGCCACCTGCGATCACAGCAGACACAGCAGCGCTACTGGTCACAACGGTGCAGAACGCTGCCGCCAAGACAGCACCACTACCGCCGAGCTCGTTCACACCACCGACGCCGAGCTCCTCCAAGCCACCGACACCGAGCTCGTCGTCTGCGTCGCTGCGGGGTCGACAGAGCGAAAACATTCAGACGATTAGCCGGGCCAAGAACCGTGTGCATACCAAAGTGGCGTCAATCACAGCCGCCAAGCAGGCCCGCAGTGGTGCCAAACTCCCGACGACGGCGGTGCCAACGCCGGTTGCCGTTGACGCTGCAACATACACGGCCCGTCTGCTGCCCAAGGTGATGCTACGTCGCCTAGTGCCGCATATGTACTGCGTGAATAGGAGACTATCCACGCCTTGTCCAAGCCCAAGACCAGCTCCACGCAGCGTGCGTTTGCGTCCGACGAAGACGCGCGGCAGTGTCGGTTCCAGCCCAAGAAGACGCGGTCGCAGCTGGCGGCGATGAAGAACCCGGCGTGCGGCTACGATTTTGTCAACCATTTTGACGACGAGGACAAGGCCGACGACTTTATCGCGCGCATGGAGGCCGCCGAGCACAACCGGCAAAAGGTATGACAATTTTTGTACAATTTATTTCAGGTCGAAACATGAGCTGTAGCGGCTCCAGTCCACACGGGGCGAAGAAGAGTACAGCTTGCGCCAAGTACATGACAAGGTCGTTTGCAATAGTCTATCGACGTTGTATTAGAACAAGAAGCAGTGCCCGCGCTGTGGCATGACGCAGTCGTACGCCGAGTTTCGCGACAAGAAGAAGCGCTGCACGTTCTGCGGCGTCCTCTTTGCCTTGCCCAAGGTGCCAACAACGGAGTCTAGTGTCGAGAAATCGGATGTGCGGATGCTAGGCGTGGGGCGACATTGGGACGGACTTTCTCGAGCGGATGGAGCTCAGTGTCGACGAGAAGAAGCGGCGTCACGAGGCCATTCGCGCGCACGTCGTCGCCCTCGAAACGCAATCGAATCGCGTACCCAAGTCGGCCAAGCAGCGCTACTACGAGCGGGCGATCGAGGCCAACACGTCGCACCGGGCGGTGCCGTCCACGCGCATAGCGTTTGCTGAGGAACCCTAACCCGCAACAAACCCTAACCCTGAACATGATAACGACGAGGAACTGCGCGGTTGTAGTACCGTGAAGCAACGACTACTTTCATTCAGATACTACGTGCTTGTTTGCTCGAGTTGACGAGATGCTCGTGTGAGGCGGTGTCCAGTGGGTCAATACTGGGTCATGTAAGGGTCTATCCGGCCTCTGGTTAGCATTCTGGTCAGCGCTGGTTCGTGAGCGCACCACGTTCGCCTTCCACGCCAAACTGCACTGGCGCCAGACTGTAGATAGCGAGTCGCAGAACAATGGTAGCCAGACACAGGCAGGTGCTACGCCAACGACCGTCTTTTCCGTCCTTTGCACAGTATTGTCATGTCAACGGAGTCACTACGTTGTGCATATATTTGCGCTGGTTTACGGACTCGCACTCAGCTCGACTTCGAGGGCGTCCCAGAGCACGTTAAAGTCGACCGTGACGGGGTCCGTCACGTCCGGGAGCACGCTCATGCCCGTGCTCTCATAGTAGCGCCAAAAGTCAAAGCCGCGCATGACCTGGCCCATCTCGCGCAAGATGAGCCGACGCATGCCTTCCTGGTCCGGACTTAGCGCCGGTGCGCCGAGGCCGTCGGGCGACCGCCCGGCCATGTGCAGCTGCGAGTAATGGCCGTAAAGCATGTTGTGCTGGAGGCGGTACGACGTCAGGTACACGATCGCTGCCAGCTTGTAGCTCACGGCCATGAGCCGGCGGTTGCCTGCCAGCTTGAAGAGTCCGATTGTGCTTTCGATGAGCGCTGCCGTTTGCGCGATCGTCGACGTCGAGTCTTTGCCCCACTTGGCGGCTTTGACTTGGTCGTTGGTCATCTTGGAGATGGCCTTGAGGTCCGAGAAGAGCAGCGCCTGGCGTAAAAACTTGATGCTGGCGCGAAGGTACTCGACGCCCGTGGCCGACTTGTCTGTCTTGCGGTCGCCCGAGTGCTTGAGGCTCACGCCTTCTTTTCGCAGCTCGTCCATCTCCTTGAGAATGCGCGCCGTGTCGGCCACGTCGGCACTTGACGCGATCAGGAATTGCCCGGCCGTCCGGGCCTTCTTGGCCGGTGGCGCTTCGGCGACCGGGGCTGGCCGCTTTGCGATTGGGTCCGACTTTGGCACAGGCACGGGCTTGGGCGGGAGCTTGGCGACCTCCTTGGGTGGCGGTGTCACGGTCGTCGGTGCGGGTTTGACCGGCGAGCTCGGCGCCTCCTTCTTCTTGGCGCTACTTCGCTTCTCGGACTCCGCCTTCTTCTTCTTCTCCTTCTTTTCCTTGCGTTCTTTCTTGGGTTTTTCCGTTGTCGGGACGGCCACGGGCTTGACCACGGGCAGCTCGACGGGCTTGGCGACCTCGGGTGGTGCGTCTGCGATCACGACGCGCTCGACGTCGTTAGCCGCCAGCGCGGCCCGAAACGCGACGTGCCCCGCGTCGTCGAGGTCAGTTTTCGTCTTGGACCGCACGAGGAGGAGACAGCCGCGCACGTAGGCCGCCATGTTTCTGTAGTACGCATTGGGTGGCCGCACGCGCTTGCGGGCGCGGGCGCCAAGGATAATGTACTGTGGCTCTTTTTCCGGGACCGCGGCCGAGGACGCTTCGTCTTCGCTGTCGCTTGAGTCGCTACTGCTGACAGACGCGTAGTCGTCCGAGTCTTCGCTCGAGGCCGAGCCCTCGGTACTGGCGGCCGGGACGGGAAATCGCAGCTGCTTGCCTCGCGGCTGCGTTGCAGGCTCGGAATCGTTCTCGGGCTCGGACACGTCGCTGTCGTCGGAGGCTATCATCGTGCGCATAAGGTCGAGTGGCATGATGGGAAGCGCGTGTACCTTGGCGATGGGCCGCCGCCTCTTCCTTGCTCGACGCATGCAGACGCTTCTGTGCAATGTAGTTCTGGGCCATGCTGGTCTCGGCAAGTCGGGGTTCGATGCTTCGACTTGGCGGCAAAGAGATGCAAGCAGGCGCTGTCGGCGTCCGCGATCCGTCCACCGGCGCCGGTGGTTTTGTGCGACTGCAAAAAATACACGGCGCTCGCGAATTTAATTACCCGAGAACGACCCATTTTAATTCCTGGTGGCGACGTGAAATAATAATAAAATGCAGCGAGTGGCCGATGACGCCGCAAGGTATCCGGACACGGAAATAGCGACGTCGGCCAAGATGGCGGCGGCCGACGCGCCGACGGCCTCGCCGCCACCGACCGATCGACCAAGGAATCCCATTGCCCTCGCCGATTGCTAGTAGTGCGATGTACATTGCAGCATAGTACATGCCCGGTGGCGACGGCGTCCGGCCACAAGAAGGACGTAGCAATAGCAGCGAGTGGTCAGTCGAGCTGTATGGTGCAACGTGTTGTGCGTCATGTTACTGCTACGTGAGGCGAGCATACTGCTACGTGAGGCGAGCATGGTCTGGCTGAACGGCAAGGTCCATCGGAGCGACTTTGACAGCTTTAGACGGGCGGGGCAAGTGTCTTTTTGGCCTGCGCGTCCATTTGACTGTACACGCAGCATCGCATGAGCAATCTGGTAGAGTGGTGATGCAACGTACTTGGCGCGGTCCCGCGTTGCGCTCACGAGCCGCTGGCCTGCTCCGTCACTAGGGCCCAAGCTTGCTGGTGCTGTCCGACTCTTGAGTCTGTCTGAATACGACGTGTCGCGCGGTGGTGGCAGCGGTGGGCCGCCGGGCAGGGCGCTCGGTAGTTTTGCCCGGCTCGCTACTGCATCGGCACTTGGCATCGGCACCGGCGGTCGCTTCCACGGAGCCGCCTTCTTGGGTTTTGGAACTGGCTTCTCATGGGGTGGCACTCGCGCACCGTCCACCAGCGGCGGCAACACGATCGCTGGTAGATGAACCTCTGGGGTGGCAGCAACCAGAGCACCGTCGTCGTTGTCGTGGCACTCCTCCAGAGTCGTCTGCAACTCAACTTGGTTCTCCGCAGGTAGCGCTCTCGTGGGCGAGTCTACATGCTCGACGATGGGATCGGCGGTGGGTTGCTTGTCATCGATGGGTGGCTACCACCGATGCATGAAGGTGAGTTGAGATATCATGATGTCCTAATGTCCTACCACGTCCTCGGAAGGCGACTCGTCTTTTGGCTTTTGGGACGAAATGCCCTTGGCGACACGCTCCATCTCGCCCTTGTGATGCTTGTAGCGCTCGAGGCCTTGCTGTCGCAGCTCCATCTCCTTACTACGTTCACGCAGTAGGGCAAAGGACTGAGAGCGTACTGGTCGCACCGCTCGAGCTCCGACTTGTGCTTCTCCATTGCCTTCAAGCGCCGACGCGTCTCTTTTCGAAGCTGGTCGGCGCGCCGCTTGAGCTCGTCTTGCGCCTCCTCGTCTTCCTGCTGGTGTCGCACTTTCTCTTCCAGTTCTTTGGCGGCCTGCTGCACTTTGAGATCTTCCTCGCGTCGCCGCTGCTCCTTGGCGCTACAGGATGGATGCTACGACAGTATTCGATGTACAAAGTGTCTACCGAAGCAAACGCTCCTTGGTTTGCTGCTGGAACTTGTCCAAGTCGGGGATATGGGTCTCTTTTTCAGGCTTGGGCTCGGCCGGCTCTTCGTGCTGCGCTTGCTGCCGTCGGTGGCGCGCGCGCTCCTTGGCCTTGCGCCGGTCGTTTTTCAGCCGCTTCTCCCGCTCTTCGAGGGTCTCGTAAAACTCAGAGACGCAGTCCGCCTCCGTCTGTTGCTGCTTCTCGGCCTCCTTTAGCTTCTCGCGCTGCTTGGCGGCGACGCGTGCCGCCGCGCGCTCCTGGGCGTACTTGCGTGCGAGCTCTTGGGCGGCCTTTTGGTCAGGATCGTCAACGACGGGGGCTTCCGGCGCCTCCTTCTTCGCCTTGGGTTTGTGCGGCTTGACAGTCTTGGGCGACCGTGGTGAGCTCTTGGCAGGTTTGACACTACGCGACACCACGTTGAGATCGTGCCTCAACTCGGTGCCGGAGGCATTACGGAGGACGGGATGGCGTCTCTCGCTGGGGCTCCTTGGGCTTCTTGACGGCCTTTTTCTTGTCCCTTCTACACCACGCAGGTGCGACCGACGAGTCGGCTGCAATAGAAACGTACTTGACTTCGTCCTGGTTGCTAGCAGCCGCCTTTTTGGGCTTGGCCTTGGTGGTCTTGGCTTGGGGGGGCGCCGTCTCCAGCTCTTCGTTATCCGACTCCTCGAGGATCGGGGGCGGTGGAATCTTGCTAAATAGGGTGCTAAAATCGGGCAAGTTCGTGGCGGCCTGGACAAGGAGGCGAGCGCGCTGCAGCAGCTCCAACCCATCGTCGTCGTTCTCGGGTGCACCGTCGTCTTGGTTCATTGTCGGTTTCTGGGGGGCATTCTTGACAGCATGTTGAAGTTACATGTCAAGTGCAACGTACCCGTTTTTGTCAATACTGCACTTTTTGTCCGTCATATACCGTGTTCTGACAACGATCCTCAAAGAGCATCAACGATGGCCGCCGCACGCCGCCTCATCAACCTCGTGAGCGACACGGTCACGCAGCCCTGCGCGCGCATGCGCCAGGCGATGGCCAATGCGATCGTCGGCGACGATGTGCATGGCACGGACCCGACGGTGCTCAAGCTCCAGGAAGCTGCCGCGGACCTCCTCGGCAAGCCACGTGCGCTCTTTGTGCCATCGTACGACGCTGCTGCAATGGCCTCGATATCTCATCGCGCCGTGTGTAGCGGTACGATGAGCAACCTCATCGCTGTCGGCGCGCACTGCCAGCGTGGCGACGAAGTCATCTTGGGCAAGAAGTCGCATATCTTTACGTACGAAGGCGCGGGCGTGAGCGGTACCGTCGATCTACGGTCGCCAGCCTCATGACGCGTGCATAGCCTACTTGGGCGTCGGCATGAACACGGTGCCGACGCAAGCGAATGGCAACCTCTTGGCCGCAGACATTGAGAGCGCGATTCGAGACGACGACCCGCACTACCCACGGTGAGCTCCGCTACCTCTTTCGACGCTCATGGCATGATGCCAGGACGACGCTGGTCGCTGTCGAGAATACCCACAACACGTGTGGCGGGCGCGTCGTTCCGACCGAGTCCATCAATGACATTGCGGCCGTTTGCGCACGCCACAACCTCAAGATGCACATGGATGGTAGCCAGATGCCTGCCCTCTTCCCTCTCGAACCCTGCCGCATCCTAGGTGCGCGCCTCGCCAATGCCAGCGTCGCGCTGCAGTCGCCGCTGCGGGACCTCGTGGCGTCGGTGGACTCAATTTCGCTGTGTCTGAGCAAGGGGCTTGGTGCGCCTGTCGGATCGATCCTTGCCGGCGACGACGAGCTCATGCACAAGGTGGGGCTCCGGTGTACCGTTCTCTCTCATTTGCGAGATGACGTAGGCGATGCGGCTGCGCAAGTCGCTGGGCGGCGGCATGCGCCAGTCGGGCGTCCTCGCGGCGGCGGGCTTGGTGGCCCTCGAGCACAACATTGAGCGTCTTGCGGTGGACCATGCGAACGCCAAGGTGCTCGCCCAAGGCCTCGTACGTGCAGCCATGACGATGACGCAGGCTATGACGCGCTGACGTAGGCGACCATTCCCGGCATCGTCGTCGACGTCGCCAACGTCGAGACCAACATGGTGTACTTTACATTGGACGCGCACGCGCTTGCGAATGACGTTTTCCTCGGCCGGATGAAGGAGCTCGGCGTTCTCCTCGGCGGTAGCGTATTTAATGGCTTGGAAACCGATCCAAGGCGTCTTCTCTAGGTGGCTATGGCAAGGCGCACAACCAAATTCGCGCCGTGACGCACCTGGACGTGACGGCCGACGACATTCATGCCGTGCTGCAGGCCGCCAACACCGTCCTTTCCACGCAAACCTAAGTCGCCTTTATGGTGGCACCGTTGTGGAGGACCCTGATGAGAGTCTTGGGTCTCTCTCCGCTGCGTGGGCGAGTAGCTCACCATGAATGCTCGACTAAGCGTTCAAGAGACTATCGTTTAAGTCACTCGGAACGAGTAGACATGATTGTTTTAGTACAAAAAGTGTAGTTGAGGTCGTTGCAACTCGGAGGAGCCATCCCAGCGATCGAGAACGGGGACCGCAGTCACGCCTCTGCGACCACCGGAGCTGGATCAAGCTTCTCGAGAGCCAGCTTTTGTCGTTGGCACATGGCTTTTGTTGCCGGCAGGCGTTCTGTACACAGTTTGCCAGTCGACATGTGGTCCACACAAAAGAGCGTAGAAACGCAGAATTACGATCCGCCACACTGAAATGACAATCTGGTACACGCGACAGACTACAACGAGACGCGGTCCAGATTGTGGTTCTTGGAGCGCTTGGCGTCGTCTCGCAAGTGGGCTCTGATTTTTTTTTCGCGCGTTATGCGGTCGCGAAGGTCTTGTCGGCGGTAGTCGTCCTGCAGCGCCTGCGTCTCGAGCGCTTCTCGAATCTCATCGCGTTGCTCGATGCGCGCCTTTTGCCGCTCGACGAACGCAAAGCTGCGCTTCGTTTGCTCCGACTCGCGCAACGTCGCCAGCTTGTGCTTGGTGTCGGCTGCGAGCAGCACGGGGAGCGTGGACTGCGTCGCGCGCACGTCGTCGCGGTCGTCTTGGGCCTGGAGCCGCGTCAGGCGCACGGTCTGCTGCCCAAACCGTTGGGCGAATCCTCGCAGCGCCTTCTTGCGTGTCGAGAGGGCGGCTTGCACCGCTCGGTTCTGCTGTTGCAAGAGAAGCCGCTGTTGCTGCTCGTACGCATTGCGCTGGAGCGCCGCGTCGACCGCCACTTTTTGCGCTGCGATCGCTGCCGCCCGCTCGCAATGGCCGATGCGCTCGTCAATCGCACGCGCCTCGGCCGCCCGCTCGGTGAGCCGCATGCGGTGAAGCGTTTGGTTGGCCCGTTCTTGGTCGCGCCGGTGCAGTGCGACCGCGCCCTCCACCGCCCGCATTTTGGCTTGGAGCTTCTCGTGCCGATTCCGCGCGGCGACTTCGGTGACCATTGGTGGCGGCGGCCGCGGCGTGTGCTGCAAAGCGACCTGCAACTGCTTCTCTTGCAGCTCTTCGATGGCGACGCTTCGGAGCGCAGCCTCGGCGTACGCTGTCTCGAGCCGAATGCCTTGCGCCTGCTGCTCCTTGAGTTCTTGAAGGTCCCGCGGTGGGTGCGCGCTCATGTAGACGTTTGCGGGGACCACGTCGGGTGCGAGTGTCGACAGACTGGCTGTATCGTTGTCACCGTCGTCCTCGGCGGGTGTCGGTGGTACAGGTGGTGGCTGGACGAGCAAGAGGTCCAGGAGAGGTTGGTCACTCAAGCCCGCAAGCCGTGCCAAGTGCGATGTTGGACACCGGCGTCGGTCGCGGTTCGTCGCGACCGATGATGGCTTTGGCTCGCGATAGAAGGTCCCCCAACGTGACGGCAGAGCGAGGCGGAGCGCCTGCCAATGGCTGGAAAAGACATGGCCGGTTCGCAAACGAGTCTAGAGGAATTTGGTCATCAAATCACAATTGGTCTGCGGCTGCGTACCGGCTTGTCGAGCCAGAGGTACCGCAGCATCGAGTACGTAAAGAGACGCGCGTACGTCTGCGTGCGCGCGTCGTACGTCTTGAGGAGCAGCAAGACGGCGCGGTGCCGGGCTTCTTGAACCGAGCCAAACTCGAGCTTGACCAAGGGCACGCCGCACATGTTGCCCCAGGCCATGGGCACAGTGTCGGCCTCTGCGTGGTTCCACAGCGCGTGGCTGTCGGCGACGACATCGAGACACGTTTGGAAGCGGCCAAAGAGTGGGTCGCACGAGCTCAGGGGCGGCTTTGGGAATACGTCGTTGGCAGGCGCCTCGTGGACTCCAATCGAGAAGAGATGGCTGGCCTACACGAGCCATATTGGATAGTTGGATATCGATCTTTGGATACATATCGATCTATCCATTGTGGTCCTACCTGGTCGTGCGAGGTATATTTTTCTTCGCGCCCGACAATCTCATGGAAGGGTGTGCTCGGCATCCAGACGGGAAACCCGACGCGGACAAGGCCGTTGTCGACAAGGAACGTGTTGAGGTATTGCAACTGCTCGTCTTCCGGCAGCCGCGACAAGCTCTCTTCGAGCGTGATGGGCAAGTGCAGCGCCTTGTGCGTAAACTTGAACCGCCAGTGGTGCGACGTCCGCGCCGGCAACGACGACATGACCATCTCGAGCATCCTCGGGGTGCGCAGAAGCGTGAGCACACGCTCCTCGACGTACAGCACGTTCGAGTCGATGGCCGCGACGGTGCGAAGACACTGTGTCCATTGTGTGAGCCCCCGGTAAAGGTACAGCGTGTTGCGCCACCACCTACAGCTCGCTTCAGGCACGTTGCGATGACATGATGTCGCTACCGCTGTAGACAGAGTGTCGCACGGGCTTGCAGAAACACTGCGTCAAACTGGGTACGCTGGCGCGTGCTGTACGACCGGTAGACGCTCTGGATGCGCGTAGCCGCGGCCAGTCGGCGGACGTCGTCGTGCGAGTAGAGGCGCAAGACGACGTCGTCGTAGCAGTGCGAGTGCCGGAGCAAGTGCAGCATGCGCCAGTACATGGCAAACGACGTGGGCACAAAGCTCAGGAGCGTCTCATACGTTGTTGGTGGCGGCAGAGCGCGCCGCGTCGGCGTCACATGCTTTGGTTGTCTACGCGGTATTCGACGACAATATGTACATTGTTGCTGCGTACTGGACACCGCGGGCTCGAATTCGGATACTTCGCTTTCGTGTCTGGCCCTTCTACGATAGAAAAATGCGTCGATCGACAGGCGCGTTTACTTCATGGTACCAGTCGCGAGGCGCGGGCTTGGAGCGTCGACCGCAGTGTGGCGTCCACGAGCCGAATTCGCTGGGCCACCTCGTGGCGGAGGGCGGCCAGGTGCTGTCTTTGCAGCGGCGTGGTCTTTCGCGGCCGCAGTGTTGCCAGCTGCTCGGCGTCCTCGCGCAAGAGACGCAGCTGGCTTGCAAGCAGCACGGTGTCGTCGCACTTGGTCAGCACGCAGGCGCTGTGCGCCAAGGAACGAGGGCGGCGCAGCTGCGCAAAGACTTGGTGAAAATGATAGCCCGACGGTCGAAGCACACGGGGGCCGGTGGCAACGACGCGGTTGGTAAGCGCGCGCACGGGTACGCCCAGTGCCTAGACACCATACATCCTTTTCCATTGCCGACAAAGTGTACGTAGTGCTCGCGGTGGGCCGCAATCTTGGCGACGGCTAGGACCAGAGGCAGCGACGCCGGCGTGCACACGATCGCCAACGTCCACGGCGACGTGAGGAGCCGCGCGCGCATGGCTTGGATCTCGGCGACCGCTGCGCACAGAAAATGCTTGATGCGCAGCGCGGCCTTGTTGCGGAGGTAGATGCGCCGTCGGCGCAGCCAGACCGACATGATTTTGGGAATGGCGCGTAGCTTTTGCTTTTGCAGCGTCGAGACCAACAGATCGTCGTCCCCGTGGTCGGCGACCACGAGACAGAGTTGTCTCTACATGCAATGGGTCAAGCCCCGTGTCCTTAGCACCGGCATTGGCTACCATGAGGTAGCAACGAAAGGCCCAGCCGCGAAAGAGCCGCTGGATGCGGCGGACAGCGGCGAGCATGCTTCGAAACGTGCCGAGGCCGTATTTGCGCGCTCGGTACCCGCGGTAGACGCGCTGTAGGATCAAGACGGGACTATTCAAGGTCGCAGAGACATGGTAGGTTGAAGCGACCGGACCTGTTGCGCTCACACTGCCGGTGGAGCGACGAGAGCGTCTTGCAGAGGGCAATTCGCACCGTGACATCGACGGCTAGAGGCGTGGCCTCCCATGGCGTCCAGAGCGTGCACCGCATCGACGCGTGCAGTGCGCTAAAGCGCGGCCCAAACTCTAGTCGTCAGCAATAGTTAGTGATCGCCTAGGATTCACATCCTCGTTTTACGGGCTTGCTGGATGCGCTCTTCGTCAGTCACCACGTAGGCATCGAGGGCGCGCAAGAATGAAAGCTAAGCGAGCAATAAGACACTAAGACCTCTGGACGAGACGGCTACGCGGTTGACGATGACGGTCCGAGACGCCTCGAGGAGCGCGATCGGGTTGCCCGCGAGGCGCAAAAGCTCGAGGCTCGTCGCTGCTTCCAAGCCGGCGACGTCGCGCCACTTGGCAATGTAGTTGTCCGAGACGTCGAGCACCGAGAGCAGTGAGAATGCAGCCCAGAATGAACCGCCTGGCAGCGATGTGAGCACGTTGGAGGCAAGGTTGAGGACGCGGAGCGTCTTGGCGCACACAAGAAGCGCGTCGATCGCGCCAATGACGTTGTGCTGCAGGTATAAAGCGACGAGGTGCCGAGGCGAGGTTGACGTAAAAACCTCGTCAATGGACGAGACGTTTTGGCCGTGCAGCTGCAAGACATAAAGCTTCACGGGCCCTTCCGGCGTCGACTCCCGATCGCGGAGCACAGTGAGGTACGCGTCATCGCTAGGCCGGCTCGCTTCAACGTCGGACGTGGCCAAAAGTGCTGTCGTCGCGACGCCCGAGAGCGGCCGTGTTGCGTCGAGCTCACTCGGTAGCATCCCGTGGAAAGGTCGTGCGCCGTTTCAACCGTATCTTGTCCTATCTATCTATCTATCTATCTATCTATCTATCTAT